GCCTAGCCGACCTGGCCTTAACGGTCACATTTGTGACCGTTGTGGCCGACCCGGCCCGGCCATAATGGTCAATTTGACTATTTTGACCGTTTTCCCCCTAAAAACGGTCAAAAATGACTATTTTGTGAGGGTTTTTTGGTCATTTACCTAAGAGGCTGCCTCTATAAATAGATGAGGTTTTTTTACTTCTTCTCCTCACACCAAGACTCTATTATACAATTTTATACTCTCTAATAATCTCTTATACTTTCTAATCCTTCTATCAGATGGCTTCCGAATATGATTATGAAGAGCAAAACCTATCTCCTACCGATCTTGAAATGAGTCCTTCTATAACAGCTACTCCTACCGATCCTACCGGTGTTAATCCTGAATCCGGTGGTGACGAATCTGCACCAAGAGCTCCTAAAAGGCCGAGATCCGATGTGTGAAATTTTTTTGAGAAGATAGACGTCACCAAGGATGAACATGATAGGATCCTCACCCAGAAGGCGAAATGTGCGTTGTGCGGCCAGACTTTCCAAGCTTATCATAAGAGTGGCACCAACCACCTCAAACGCCATATAGAAAAACACAACAAATGCCAGAATCCTCAAGGTAATATCCGACAATCTATGATTTCCCAATCATCATCTTTTGGTAGTCTCGGTAGTTGGAATTATGACGCTGTCCGAGCCAGAAAAAGCGTAATCAGGTTTATCATTCTTAAAAACATTCCTTTTAAATTAGTAGAAGATGATGAATTTGAAGATATGTTTAGAGATGATTTTTATCCCGCATTTACAAAATTTTCTCGTCAAACCTGTCAACGTGATATTTTAAAACATTATCAGGAGGAACAAGTAAAAATAATTTTTTATTTTAAAAATTTAAACTGTAAATTTTCTTTAACTTCTGATATTTGGACATCTAGAATATAAACTGGTTATTTATGTATCACGATGCGGCATAATTATGTACCAAAATTGCAAGTGTACAATTTATCAAGTTATAGTATAAAAAATATCGATCCCACGAGGAAGGTGATTTTAAGAGATTATTAAACTTGGTTCTTATATTTTGTGCGTGACAATTAGGAATAAAGAATAAGTGTGATCGTATGAGTGGTTATTTTGATTTATATGCAAGAGGTAATAAATTGAATTTTAGAGGAGAGAAGGAAGAATTAAAGAATAAATAAAATCATAAGGCAAGAAATATGGATTAATAAAATCAAGAAATAAAACTAAGAATGAAAGGAAAATTTAAGAAAGTTAAGATGAAGGATTCAAAAGAGGTAAGAAATCTAGAATATAATCAACTAACCAAATTCAATTACAAAATATAAACTATTCTCTTTTTATGAACTAATTACAAAATTAAAAAGAAAAGAGAAATCTAAACTATGAACAAGAAATAAATCTAATTACAAAGAAAATAAAAATCTAAACTACAAAATAAATTGCAGAAATTAAATGCAAGAAAATAAATCTACTCTATAAATTAAAGTGCAAAAAAAATAAGAAAGACAAGAAAGTAAATCTACACTACAAGCATGAATTTAAATCTAACTAATAAGCAATAATAAAGAAATTACTAAAAAGAAATAAAAGAGAAAAGAAATGCAAATCTTCAAATTGCTCTTCATCTCCATCCTCATCATTCAACAAAGAGGAGAAAGAACAAATTTAAAGAGGAAAAACTATTTTTATTAATTGCAACTAAAGTTACAATTTTTGGAAGGCCTTCTCAATTAAGAGTAGCCCTCCTCTCTAAAAGGAGTTTACAAAATTTTTCACACCCCTAACCCCTCACTCTCTACCTCTATTTATAGTAATCTTTAATGAATATGAGCCATTGGATTTGTCTTGAGCCCCAAGCAACAATCTCCACCTTTGATTTATTTGATTTTCAAAAGAAATTCAAAATCCAATTCTTGAGCCCATGTTCACTTGATTTTCAAAAGAATTTTCTTGCAAATTCCAAGCCCACAATTCTTGAGCCCATGTTCACTTGATTTTCAAAAGAATTTTCTTGCAAATTCCAAGCCCAAGTCCGGTCACAATTTCGGCCCAACTCTTTGCTGTGATTTTCAAAAATCAATTCAAGTCCAAGTCCGGTTCCTTATCTGCAGCCTATCATTTATTTGAGGAAAATGACAGGTCCGGTCCAATTTGAAGAGCTGCAGCAACAAATTGCAAGCAACCAAAATTTCGGCCCAATCAAAATCCAGCCCATGTATGTAAACATCCCCAAAACAAGTCCAATGTTAGCAATTAACAAGTCCGGCCCAATCAAGTTGCAGCAGCCCATATACATGATTTTCTCCAACAAATCTTCAGCAACCACAAAATCCGGCCCTCATTGAGAAGAAAAAAATGAAATGCAGCAATCAGTGTTGAAGTCCGGTCTTCACAATTGTGAAAATTCAATGCCAAGTCCGGCTCACATTTATGGGTGTAAATATATATTTTTTATGGGCTTTGGGCCTTCAAACTCAAATGAAAATAAAGAGGAGCTTGTGTTGGCTTCTTTTGGGCTTTTGATCATTTCCTCTTTTAAGCTTTTGCTTCATAGGCTTCTAAAATGCTACAAAATAGAGAAGAGATATTTTTAGAGGTTTTTATATTTAATAATATTTATTTATATTTTCATTCATTTATGTGAAAACTAATCTAACAACAATTATTAATTGTATATTTATTCATATAAAATAGATAATGAGGGTATAAAATTGTAATAAAATATGATTATCATATCACAGCACATTGGATTGACGAAAATTGGTAAATGTTTAAAAGAGTTGTTTCCTTTATTACAATTGAAGAGTCACATACTGATATTAATATTACAAATTTAATAATTGAAGAGCATATGGAACTAGAAATTGATCAAAGAATATTTTCTCTTTTACTAGATAATGCAAGTAATAACAATGTAGCTGTTAATTTTATCATAACAACTCTGTCATTGCCATGTCATGGTGATCTTTTTCATATTAGATGTATCTTTCATATTTTAAATTTAATTGTTCAAAGTACATTTACTGGAATTAAACCCATGATAAAAAAGATTAGAACAGTTGCTAATATGCATAATGTTTTTGAACAAAGAATTAAAAGATGTAAACAATTTTACAAAAGAAAAAAAAATATAAGCCCAGACTAATTCCAAAAGAAGTTGACCATAAGTGGAATTCTACCTATGCAGTGTTAAGTATGGCAATAGAATATAAAAAAAATTATAAATAATTTTATAAATTATTATGCTTCTAGTTCTAGCTCTGGTAGCACTTATGGAATAACTGAAAATAAAAGGACAATTATATGTAATTTAAATGAGATGTTACAAGTTTTTTATGATGCTACAATGTTATTATCTGGCTGTTATTATCCAATTATTACTTTAGCTGCTTTACAAATTTTAAATATTTAAATTTTTTTTAACAAATATCGTATGAATGATACTTTTGGAGCTACAATTTTTCAAGTGGAGAGAAAATTTAATAAGTATTTTAGGCATATTCCTTATATTTTTGGTTTGAGGGTTCTTATTGATCTATGTTTGAAGGATATTGGCCTTCGAAGTTTGTTACAATCATTGTATGGTGGACAGATTATAGACTAAGATGATTGATCCACCTTTACTTCTACTTTTCATTATTTAGCTATTAGAAATTATTTTTAAACATTATATGATGAATATGCAGCTAGACATGGTGTGGCTGCATAACAGTTTACAGCTTCGGCGCCTTCGAGCTTAGGTCGAGGTAAAAGTGTAAGTTTTGATAGGTATACAATGGTAGCTGAGCTAACTGGTGGATCTGGACTTGGATCATCATTAGAGGTTTCTAAAATAGATGAATATTTATCTGCTTCTTTAGTTAAATGTCAAGAATATGCTTTATATTTTTTTGTAAAGGTGGAGAGTATATAGATCAGTTTCATATCCTATACTTTCCACCATGGTTCGTGACTTACTAACAGTGCAGATTTCGACAATAGTTTCGGAATCCGCCTTCATCATAGCATGACGTTTGATCGACGACCACAAGACATACTTAGATTCGTATACTGTACAAACGGTGATGTGCTTACAAGATTAGTGGAGGTACGAGAAGCGAACGCAAGACATCGATCAGATGACTGGAATTGAAGATAAAATTGAAGAGTTTGGACTAGCAGATAGATATAAAGATTAAACAATATTCATCAAATTATAATTTTTATTTCTTAGCTTTAAATTTATAATGAATTATTTTAGAAATAGTTATAAATGATAGCGATATAGGTGAGTAGGTGCCAACCTAGTTGGGATGTACTTATCTATTGTGATGCGACGAATTCCGAAATAAATTTATGCTTGTAAAGGATTTACTCATTATTAATAAAGAAGTTATTTTTATTATCTTTTATTTTTATAATTTTTTGTATTTGTAATTTATGTCATTTCAAGTTATTATTAATATTATTATTTTTATTAGTATTTTTTGTAATTTTTATGCATATTTTAAAATTTAAAGAGATTTTAAAAAAAAAAAAATAAAATAAAAAAAGGTTAAAAAATCCGGGCCGGCCCGGAGCCCGGCCCGCTCAAGCCCAGGTCCGGGCTCCGGTTTTTCCCGGCCCGGGCCCGAAAAACCAGGTCCGAACCAGGCCGGGCTGACCCAGATGGACAGACCTATCCAAAAGGGGTGAAATAAGTTCCTTTTGAATCCCCTTAGTAATTTCCCAAACAAGTTTTATGTTCACTTATTTTTCCTTAGCTTAATTTATCCTATGTTTTCTTAACTCCCCTTCACTAGGTGCAAATCCAAGCAAGCCTTAAACGAAATAACTTCCATTCTTAAAACTTTGGGGGGTACTTTTCAGGGATAATTTTTTTTTCAAATTTAGTAATCAATAAAACATTAGGGCTTTAAAGTATAATGACCCTAATTGTTATAATAATGTAAATAATTTCTTTAAAAATACTTATAATTTAAAGAGTATATATCAAAGAAATTCTAAATTAAAGAGTCAGCATTCTATCAGAATCATCCGCATGCATTTTAGAACCATCCGCTTGCATTTGCGCGAATGCTATTCTCATCCTCACGAAAGGAAAATAGGGGAGCAGAATGGTAACTTGACCACCCCAACATGAATAGATTGTAGATTCAAATTAAACAGAGTAAACTACATATAACCTATCTCGTGTACATTTAGCTTTACACCCCAAACTAATTTATTAACAGCAAACACCCTGTGGATTTTCAATTTTAGAAGGATAAATCATTGATGTCACACCTTAAATACACCAAAGTTCTCTTTTCCTCAAAAATACCTTTATTTTTTGTACCAAAGTTAAGGAAATTAGGGAATTTTAAGTGCAAATAACCCTAAAAAAATAATAAATCATTTTTCGAAAAGTCAAAACTACCCTTAGGTCTTGGACTACCGTCACAGGTTAGAATATACCCAAGAAAAACCGCAATGGCGTGCTCAGCTATTTTTTATTTTCTCCCCATAAAAATTGAATACGGAGAAACTTTTTGACTAGAGAACTTTCTTCTTCTTCTTCCTCAGTTGGCGAAAAACAAATGCTGAAGCTATGGAGATGGTATCAGCACTGCTTGGCTGTTCATCCCGTGAAGACCCAAGTCGTCAGCTCTGGCTTTCTTTGGGGGCTCGGAGACATTGGAGCTCAGGCCATCACTCACCGTTCAATTACTTTGAATACCCAAAACCCAGTAATAATCTCTCCAGCTCCTTTTGCCCTTTTCTTGATTTTCCGATTCGAAGCTTCTTATGATGATCATTGAAGAAAACCCATGTTAGTTTTTGTTGGGTATCGTCTAGATTCCTTTTTTTTTTTGCTTGGTTTGATTAATTGGTGAATATATATATATTTTTGTAATATGCTGATTTAAGTAATGGAAAATGGTTACTGCATAAAGAGTTGAAGGGGTTTTCAATCCATTAAGTAATGGAAAATGGTTACTGCATAAAGAGTTGAAGGGTTTTCAATCCAAGAGTTACTCATTTACCCTCTTGTTTGATGATCTTGATCATGAGCTGTTATGACGATTATTGAAGAAACCCATGTTAAGGTTTTGTAGTTATTGAAGAAACCCATGTTAAGGTTTTGTCTGGATTCTTGTTTTTTGCCTGATTGGATTAGTTGGGGAACATACATGCTGATTGCAGTAATGTCGAATGGGAACCAAGTGAAGAGTTGAAGGATTTTAAATTCATTTTAAAAGGAGTTGCCCGCGGCCCATTTGCCCTTTTCTTGATTTTATGATTCTAAGCTCGTTATGCTGATTCTTGAGGAAAACCCAGGTAAATTCATCTAGATGCTTTTTTTTTTCTTTTTTACTTTTTTCCCCAGTGCTTGCATCCGTTGAGCACATATTATTAGGAATATGCTGATTAAAGTAATGGGAAATTGTTCTTATGTAAAGACTTGAAGAATTTCAATACATAAGTAATACCCTTTTGCTTTTTTATTTATTATTGATTGATTTTGATCCTAAGCTTGTGATGATCCTTGAAGAAACCCCATGCCTTTTTTGGGCATTACCTAGATTATTGTTTCTTTGCCTGACTAGATTATTTGGCAAACATATTGCTGGACTATGCTGATTAAAGTGATGGGGAAGGCCGGAATGGTATCACTCGCATAGTATTATATAAAGAGTTGTGAAGGATTTTCAGTTCGTTTGCACACAATGAGGACATAAGAATCATGACTTCATCCTTTGCAATGCAATCCTTTCCTGAGTTTCTGAAGTGTTGATGCTTGAAAAGTAGGGAAATGGAAACATGTTAAGCTACTGTTCATGGTGATTATTAGCAGCAGAGGCAGTTTGATCAAGAGAAGTTGTAACTCTATATTGTTAAGTTCAGAAAACAACCAAGTCTTGCAAATGGATTCATGCAATCCAGTATATACCACAATTCCTCTTAGAATCGCAATCCATATTTTACTTTATTGAGGTTTGGATTACTTGATATTTGTTTTGAAAATTTGGTTCTGGACATTGGGTAAGAGAAATCGATGTCACCCTGATGTAATGACAAGTAAGGGTGTTCTAAGAATTTACAATGGCCTAAGAGGGAAAATGGTAGGAGACTTTACTAGAAAATAGAATTAGATTAGCTACTTGGAATATATGTATACTTACCGGAAAGACAATAGAAATTAGTGGTTGCCATGATTAGAAGAAAGATAGATATAATTTGTTTACAATAAACTAAATGTATATGTGAAAAATCTAGAGAAATTAAAAAGACCGGATATAGACTTTGATACACGGGAAAAGAGGAGAATAAGAATGGAGTGGGAGTTCTTGTAGATAATATAATAAAGGAAAGTGTTGTAGATGTAAGAAGAGTTAGAGATAGAATAATACTAATGAAAGTTGTCTTAGGTGTAAAGCTTATTAATATTATTAGTACTTACGCACCACAAATAAGCTTGTCCGAGAGTACTAAAAGGAAATTTTGGGATAGATTAGATGAATTAGTACAATGAATCCCATTTGGAGAGAAATTACTTATAGGAGGAGATCTTAATGGGCATGTTGGTAAGAATAATAACGGATATGAGAGGATACATGGAGGTTTCAGGTATGAAGATAAGAATGATATGGATAAATCAATTCTAGAGTTTGCAATAGCGTATGCTTTGATAATAGCAAATACACTTTTTAGAGAAAGGGATGAACACTTAATAACCTTTAAAAGTGGTTTTAATAATAGTCAAATAGACTTTTTTTATTACTAGAATGACAGATAGGTTAATATGCAAGAATTGTAAAGTTATACCAAAAGAGAGTTTAAGTATACAACATAGATTGATGGTCTTAGACATATCTATTAAAAAGTAAAGTAGAAAAACTAATGTGAATAAAACAATAAGAACTAAATGATGGAATTTAAAAAAAAGAGAATTTAATACATTTTAAAGATAAGATAATGAAAGAAGATATATGGAACATAGATAATAAGACTAATATTATATGGAATAACATGTCTTCTTATCTTAAGAAAGTGGCTAAAAATATACTAGGGGAATCTAAAGGTTGTAGATTAGACGATAAAAAGAGTTGGTGGTGAAATGAGTGTGCAAAATGTTATTAGAGAGAAGAAAATTTTATATAGAGAGTGGTAAAAGTGTAGGAGTAGAGAAAACTTAGAAAAATATAAACTAGTAAGGAAAGAAGCAAAAAAACGGTTAGTGAGAATAAATACACAGCTTAGCTTGCTAAGGTTAGAGAAAGGAAGAGTAGAGATTTGGCTAATATTAGGTGTATTAAAAGTGAGGATCAAAGAGTTTTAGTGACCGACGAGGAAATAAAAGAGAGGTGAAGGGGTTACTTTTATCAATTATTTAATGATAATCAAACAAGTGAGCAAAATAGAGATTTTGACCATATAGTGAATGATAGAAACTATAGATATTGTCGTAACATTAGGATTTGCGAGGTTAAAGATATTCTAAAGAAAATAAAGAGTGGACCAGCTGTAGGAGACAATATCCCTATTGAAGTTTAGAAATATCTTGGAGATATAGGTTTAAGATAGTTAACTAAATATTTAATAAGATTATCGAGACGAAAAGAATACCGGATGAGTGGAGAATTAGTATTTTGATACCAATATATAAGAATGAAGGGGATATACAAACTTGTTCGAATTATCGATGTTTAAAATTCATGAGTCATACTATGAAACTTTGGGAGAAGGTAACTAAACAAAGACTAAGAAAAGAGATGCATATCTGAAAATCAATTTGGTTTTATGCATAGGAGGTCAATTATGAAACCTATACATATTTTAAGACGGTTGATGGAGAAATATAGAGAGAAGAGAAATGATCTACATATGGTTTTTATCGATCTAGAAAAAGCTTATGATAGAGTACCTAGAGAGGTAATATGGTAGGTGTTAGAAAAGAAACATGTATCTACTATATATATTAATGTGATTAAAAATATGTAGGATAGAGTAACAACTAGAGTAAGAACTAATGTAGCAGAGACTAAACCATTTTCTATTACCATAGGTTTACACCAAGGGTCAGTTTTAAGTCCTTATCTTTTTGCATTAGTTATGAACCAACTTACTAAGCACATTCAGGATGAAATTTACATGGTGTATGTTATTTACTGATGATATAGTATTATTGATGAAACTAGAAGAGACATTATTGCTAAAGTAGAAAGACGGAGACAAGCTCTGGAATCTAAATGTTTTAGAATTAGTAGAACAAAACAGAATATATGAAATGCATTTTTAGTAAAAGTAGGAAAGAAAGAGAACCTATGGTGTACATATTGATGGCCAAAAAATACCTAAAACTAATCATTTTCGTTATTTAGGATCTATAATTAGGCATGATAGTGGGATAGAAGATGATGCTGTGCATCAAATTAAATTGGGATGGTTAAAATAGAGGAGTGCTTCGGGAGTCTTATTGGATCGTAGAATACTAATGAAACTAAAGAAAAAAATCCTATAGGACGGTTATAAGACTAATTATGCTTTATGGGTTAGAATGTTAGGCAATTAAAAAACAACATGTTCAAAATATGAGTGTAGCAGAAATGAGAATGTTGCGATGGTCTTGTGGGTGCATATTAAAAGATAGGATAAGAAGTGAATGTATCTGTAGTAAATTAGAGGTTGCGCCTATTGAGGATAAAATGAGAGAAAATAGATTAAGATGGTTTGATCATAATGTACAAATGAGACCTCTTAGTGTACCGATTAGAAAAAATGATAATATTAAAGTTAATGGTGCTAGGAGATCTAGAGGTCGACCTAGAATGACTTGGTCAGAAGCAATTAAGAAGGATATGATTAAGACTAACGTAATGGAGGAAATGACCCACAACAGAATGTAATGGAGAAATATGATTCATGTAGCTGCCCCTAAACATTTGGGATAAAAGCTTAGTTGTTGTTGTTGTTGTTGTACATTAGGTAAGAGAAGGCTATGCAGAAGGACTCCAATGGCTTGGTCTAGACAAATTATAAGGAATTTGGAAATTAAGTGTGAGAGGAAGTGATAACTTGAAATACTTGTATTTCATGTATTCTCGAAACCCATGGAATTGCTGAAGTCAATTATATTCTAAGAACCGACTGATGCAGCTAGAGCTGATCTTGTTGAAGAAACATAACAGGTTGTGTCCTTTTCAGGATCTTAATTAATATTACATGATATGGGAAATTCAAAATTTAAAGTAACCTTAATTTTATAGGAGTGAGTATGTTTGAGAATCTTTCTGCATCCATTTGGTTTATTTTATGCCTCAGAGACTATTGCTCTTCCATATAGCAGTTTTCATCTTATTTCTTCATGACCTTATCTGATTAGCGAATTTGTGTTTGTTTCCTACAGTTGCAAAAAATTTCAATGCATGCCAAAATGGTCTTTTATGGAGTCAAGTTTGTGATGGGGTTTTTCCGTCATAGTTAATGACTTGTCTAAAAGCCCAATAGAAAGTACAGGTTGATGTCTGATTGTAAAAATTTGATCAAATTCTTTTGTGGAGCTTTCTTCACTTCAAGTCATGCTTTAGTTTCGAACAATTTTCATCTGAGAAGGCTGGATGATGATAATTAGTACCACCAAAGAGCGTCACTGGTTTGACACCATGACCTCAACATTCATTTGAGGAGCAATGTTTGTTCTTTTTTGCAATAATATTGGGAACAAGAATTTAAGGCCATCCTCACAATTAAAAATTATAATGTGAGGCTATATTGAATTGTGTTTATACAACGACAACAATTGCTTTGTCCCCAAATTTTCGAGTCTGCTACATAAATCTTACTCTTCCATTCTGATATGTTGAGGGCTATCTCCTCCACTAAGTTAAGCATTATTGTATCTTTCTTCATAGTTTCTAATCAATTCTATTAGGCCTAGCTCTAGTCCTATCTCCATTATCACTATTCACTTGTGTTTATATATTTAAAATTTCTTGATAAGTATACTAGGCATCAAGCACATACTGGAATCTTTGTGTTAAGAATAAATAGCATGAAAAACTAAGAAATTTGATATGCATTACTAGCCAATCTTCCAAGTGAAATAAACTTCAAAGAGCATACTATTTTGATGCAGGTTGAATTAGTTCAACTGAGTTTAATCGCAAGCTCCTAAAAGAAGCAAAAAGGGAATTAATTCTTCGTGTCTGTTATTCTCAATCATGTTGAATTTTATTGTTATATCAATTCTAATAAAATCAAGAATCTAACTGTTAAAGATTACAAGGCAGTTTGGGGTCTTTCTCTCTGATTAGCATGAGTGCTTCTTTTTATTTTTTCAGTTTAGCTCCGTCAATCCGCTATGCTATAAGTCTGATGTGGATTTCACCATCAACTAGATCCTTCCAAAATATTTTCTTACATTGTTTATCCATGTTCGGTGTGTGTTTCATTATCTTCTACAAGAATATAAAATTATAGCATGCCTTATTTAACCTTTCCCTATATCCTACGGTCCTTCATGTTCCTATGTTACTACGATCAGGTATGTGGTACTGCTTTTATATACCTCTTATTTTTCTTCTTATCTTATATCTCTTTTGGATATAAGCATTATCCTGCATCTGCAGATTTCTTTAAAATATATATGGTTTATTGAAGCCCGATGACAGTTGAGAATTCTCATCAAACCTGTTCTTCCTGATGGTCTTAAGTTTATACTTTATAGTGATGTGAATACTTGGGGGAGGGTTGAGAGAGATTCTATGTTAAATCCAAAGTAGTGAGGGGGAAAAACAAATTAGATCTTTTTAGTCATCTGTATTAGTTGGACTCAACTTACTACTTGTTCTACTTTAGTAAACTGAGACAATACTTGAAGTCAAAGAGTACTTATTTTATTCCTGAATCACAAGTTTCTAATCATTCAATGTGATATTGCAATATTGAGATTTGTTTATAGAGTAGCTTTGCAGAATGCTGTTGTGTGGTTGAGAAAATAATTGCCGTAGTTATTTTCTGCCCAGGGGAGTAAAGAAGAGTTCAAAATCAATTGGCAAAGGGTGGCTACAACAAGTATGTTTGGGTTTGCATTTGTTGGACCAGTTGGCCACTATTGGTAAGTCATGGATTAATTGTTTCTTTATTGTCTATTGAATAGGATTGGAATTGTAAGTTTCCGTTTTATATTTAATATTTTTGGTTCAGCTGATTATTTCTTCATCTAAATGTGAATGAATTTTTTTAAGCTGAAAAACGAAAACATTGTCTGCAAGCTTGCTACATGATGATAAGTGGCTCCCTAAGTTGCATAGGTACGGGTGCCGCTGTGTGTATGGGAATAGGACGCGGAAAATTTGTTAAAGGTAGGGTTCAGAGACGGCTAAAACTCATGGGATATAATCAAAGTTCTAACCTATATATATATAAATGACCCTTTTAAATCGTAGCTCTAAAGTTGAAACGAACTTGACCGTTATCCAACAAGTTATAAAAGTGGATGTGAAGTGTATGATATATAACCAAGAAATGTATAACGGATGTTTTAGATTAAATAAGCATTGCGTAATTGAGTACATGTCTGAATAAATATATGCATATATTTATGGAGTGTCCAAGAAGTGTCAGGTACGGGTAAGACACGTGTCGGCCTCGTGTATGGCTTCATATTAAAAGTACCCAGGTAACATAGGTGGCTTCTATTGAGGATAGAATAAGAGAAATCGATTGAAATGGTTTGGCCATGTGTAACAGCGGCCACAAAATGCACCAATTAGGATAGATGATAAGAATGTAGTGAATGGAGTAAGGAGGACAAATGGTAGACCTAGTAGAATTGGGTTGGACTCAGTTAAGTAGGATATGATAGTGTGTATGTAACAAAACTGAGCGGAAAATAGGCTTCATGTAACCCACCCAAAAAATTCGGGATAGAGGGCTTTATTTTGTTTTTGTTGTTGCTACATGATGATGGTTTTAATTTGTTGAAGTAGTCTTTCATGCAAATGTGAAGCTGTACTTAGAATGATGTTTCTATGAACTGACAAGTACTTTAATTGGATTCATAATTGAGGTGGAGCTTAATATGTAAGCATGAACGATGCAAGCAACCAAGCTTTTGTCTCAATAATAAATGCTGAGATTCTATAAGAAGTCACAGCTCCGAAACCAGACTTTGGCCTTAGTTTTCTACAAGAGGGAAAAACATGCAAGGCATTGGGATATAGTGTTTGCTGAGAGATGCATTCTGTGCCAGAAGGCTAGTTCCCATTTCAAGTGGTTGCTTGGATAATATTCTTGACCCAATTGCTCATTAGGAGTTTAGTTCTGTTATATTTTTACTTCCCTCTTTCTACTTCCACCAAGAGACCCTTGGAGGGGTTATTCTCTGATTGCATTATCTAAAAACCATAACTTTGTTGGTGGAATTAGCATGCGAGATTCTCCCACAGTTCACATTGTCCAGTTTTACATTAAATTCAATGCTCGAGGAACATTGCATAAATAATCGAGTACTTATATTTAGGATTATTTGGTTTATCCTCTTAATGTGGGCATGCAGTTACTGCACATGAAGTTTAGAATATATAGGTGACCTTCTGATTGTATTATAATCCTGAAATTAACTGTAGCATTGATTTGGATTTTGGGTAATGCTTTTGGAGTTGAGATGGGCTGTTAATCCTATTGAGGAAGTATTTATTTCAAAATATTGGTGTACTGATACGAGTTTCCACCTTATTTGGCAAAATGAGCTGCCAAGAGATAGGAGTGTTGATGTCCACCTGTTTTAACGAGATGGACCTCAACCCTACTCTATCTCTTATAGCTCACTTACCAGTATGAGCTGCTAGCTTATACCCATTTTTTCCTTTGAATATTTGTTATCAACATGCTTGTTAAAACCTGTGCCTTGAATTCACGTCTAGGAAGTCACTTCAAGCTAGCCATTTTTTATGATATAGTTATGTTGGTATTTCCTAGTGGAACAAAGGTTCTATTTATGATTCCTAGTTGAAACAGAATGCAAGATATCTATACATAATTGTCCAGAGATCTCTAGTATTTAGATACAGTTTTATAAAGAGGAGATTGTAATCTTCAAGGATACTTGAATTTTTGTGAGGTAGAGAGAACCAAATTTTTGTACTCTTCTCAAATCTTTCTAGTGGAAGATGGTCGCTTCTTACAATTCTTTTGTGTTCTTTTTTTATTATGAATCTTCTTTATGCATAAATATGACTACTTTTTTGGTGGTGCTTATCTGTGTGCATACTGACAGTTTACATAGCATAGTCTTTATGCGATTCAGAACTCAAGAAATTGTAGTCCTTCCACATGGCAGGGTATGCTGTAATCTTTTACGTGACTTCTGAATCTTTCTTTTCATATACAGGTACGAATACTTAGACCGCTTCATCAGACTTCGTCTTCAGCTGCAACCAAAAACGTTCAAGTTCGTCGCCACCAAAGTCGCTACTGATGGATTCATTTTCGGCCCTTTAGATCTTCTAATATTTTTCTCATACATGGGATTTGCATCTGGGAAGAACACCGACCAAGTTAAGACAGACGTAAAGAGAGATTTTCTTCCTAGCCTTCTTGTCGGAGGAACAGTTTGGCCAATTGTTCAGATTGCAAATTTCCGATATGTGCCAGTGAGGTATCAGCTTCTTTATGTGAACTTGTTTTGCTTGTTGGACAGCTCATTCTTGTCTTGGATTGAGCAACAAGGGGATGCTTCTTGGAAACGCTGGTTTACTTCTGCTGCTCATCATTCTGTGGAAGATCACAAACGTGGATCTTGATTATTTCTATAATTTTTTTCCTTTTCCCAATTAGCCATCTGAGTTTTTTTTGATCAAATGCAAGTTGGATGATGTATTTTTGTCACTGCTTCTGTGGAGACGGGTGATTCCAGTTTTGCTTTCTGATGTACCTGAAAAATTCAATGAGTTACGTGCACTTGCATGTTATAAAATTCGATGGAATACAGGAAGTTATATTTCTATCTAATGTTTGAATGATTAACTAGAGTTATGAAAGGAATTAGTAGTTGCAATTGCTATATTGGTTTTTCCCATTTTTTGAAAATTTAAGTTGAGTAGTATGGGCGTTCGGAGTGGATTTCCCCTGCAATTCCCACAAATATCCCGTGCTCCCGAGTGCTACTTGGCTCTCCCGCAGTGGAGATACAATTACGAGGACTTCCCTATTTTTGTTCTGCGGCTTTTGCTAGAAACCACCTTATATTTAGCGTCAATTTATATAAACTATCTTATATTTCTAGTTTATATTTAAATTACCTATAAAGTTAGTTTTTTTTTCAATTAATCACATGACCCCACTTTGTTGCTAAAATTTTCATGAAATCCTAACAATGCCCTCAATCTCATGGTTGAGCATATGACCCCTCTTGTTGATGCTTTGCGAGCTTTCCACACTAAGGGGGTGTTTGGTTCACTATTTTTATAGAAAAGTTAATAGAAAAGGCTGACAATGGCATTTCTATAAATAATTTTTTTTTGTAGATTCCTATAAACTGTGTTTGGTTTCAAAAAATTTACAGAAAAGTTTTCTATAAAGTACAAAAAAGTACCTCATTTTATGAAAATCAAATTCCTCTCAAAATGGTGTGAAATCA